CCTTCTAATTTGCCTGGCACCTGCCTGTAAAAGTCCCTCAATAATAATTTCTACCCCTGAGTATTATTCTAACTCCAGTCTATTATGCCTTCAGTTATCTTTCCGCCATGAAACATAAGCGCGTGAAAGGATACTCTCAGGTTATTTACCAGCGAGTATAATGACAAATTAACCCCGCAGGGATTAATTACCAGGACGTCTAATAGTGTAACTTATTAACCCTGGTATTACTAAAGAAAACTTGCAGTATTGATCCAAGCATGTCGCTACAAACATATGACACTGTATTTATCCGTAACTATCAAGTCTACATTTGCTATTTAAAGTGTACCTCAAAAATCGTTTCACTATACGGGGTGAAAAATATATATCGAAGAGCGCACTTATGGTGTGGTGTGGTCACAGATTGCAACAATTGATTGTCAACAACTTAATTCTGTGAGGGACAGTGAGAATTGTCCGTTGAGAAGCGATTGACTACTGCGTAATGACTATCTGCATTGTATACTGAATAATCACTACAAGGACCTCATTTCCTCTTGCCCCAAGGAGCACATATATGCGAAACCCTATTACAGTAAGAAACCCGGTATGAGACATAGATTTTCCAGTTAGCCTCAACATGTTCTGATATTAAATGGTGCTTAGCTGAAAAAATTAGGCTCAAAAGCCGTTCTTAAAGTGGTTCTAAATTGTTTCTTACTTTTAATATGATGTACTAGTCTGAAACCGCGCTAACGCGCGGGGCTTTAGTGACTGTGTGACGCATGTTTCCAGTACAGTAGTGTTATGTGTAGGTGTGTTATCATGGAGAGTTTAGTTGTTGCACCATGTTTGTTTTTTTTATGGTTGAGATGTCAAACTCAAATGCGTACGCAATCATGTTACACGTAACACATTAACCATGTTGTTGACAGAACGGTAAGAGTCATTAGTGTATACATCATATAGCCAAGTCTGAAAAACAGTTGCTATAATGTACCCATAATTTTTTTAATAGAACAATTTTTATTTTCAGGCTGAATGTGTTCTGTAATATGCAATTGACGCATTTCGCTGAGTGTTCTAATCGACGTGTTTCTTTTATTGCGGCTGTTTTTTACTGTATATGTATATAATTGCCAGTTAGCTCGTGTCTGCAATAACAATGCCAGGTGTGCTGGGCATTGTTATTGGTTGAGCATTGGGCATTGGCATTGGCATTGTTATTGCATCGATATTTTGTTGAAGCTCGTCTTTTATTTTTACATGTGTTTCTTTTAAGTCTTCATCTGCATTGAGAAAATTAAGAACCTAACTTTAAAATCTTAGCCTAAAACAGGTTCTTATTGTAAAGGGGTCTAAATGGGAAATTTTAAGCGCTAACATGTTCTTAAATCGTACTGTTCTTAGTTACGCGGGTTTTTACCTGCGTATAGTATGAGGTCCAGCTGTTAGATTCATATTATGCCCGGCCCATTTCTTTATTAAAACACATTGAACGTTGGCAACGTTGCGTTCTATGCTTAGACCCATGAGGAGGGCCGTCGACCCTCTGTCAGAGTTCTAGTGGTTCACCCACCATCTGCATGCCAATCTCTTTCAGGTATAGCGAATTTTCAATTGGCACACTGACACTATTAACTCAGCAAGGGAGCCGTCGTGTTATATATTTAGTGGCCAGGTAGAATAATAGCAGGTCCAACGTATTATACCAATTACAGTACAACTAAGGAATAGCAAGTGGATTTAAAGGCCAGCTACTAAATGTCGTTAGTAAGCTGTAGCGAATTTATCGATATGCCATAATTGTCATATATGTTGCCCACACGATACAGTGTTATGCTATCATTTCCTCACAAATCCATACGCCCTCACCATATAGCATGCATAGCAGCACACATTGGATAAATACAGAGGTGGCCAAACTTTAAATGGGATTGTGATATGATATGGTGGTGGCGCTAAATATCTAAATACATCATCATATAGGCATACATAGTTTACTAAAGTAGTGGTTGCTTCCGTAAGAATATCGTAGGGCCCAAAGAAATATATTAGTGCTGTATCATTAAGAATAATCAATTTGGACAAATCACCTATTTAAGCCTGTTGGGTAAAATATTGCATAAAAATGTGAACGAATAATCGCTGTTTGCACATAAGACAGTGATTGTGTCAGTAGATAGTACGAACAATTTTTTTTTGAGAAAATAACTATAAACTCATCAGACTTGTTGTTATTTTCTCGCACTGTGTTAAGAGACAATTGTTACTACATTGATCTGCTGATATTTCATAATACAGTGAATATACTTTCCTATTACGGCCACCTCACTACAGCAAATACGTCCTCCTTTTACGCAAACTTTTATGGCCTTGTTCAAACATTTCTCTGCCAAGCATGCCTGAACAAAAAATCTTATTCACGGCTTCCAACAGGTCTGGTTCTTTTATTAGTTTCTGTTAATCCTGTAAATCAGTCAATCGTGTTAATCTGTAATTAATCTGTTAATGTAGTTTAGTCTGTAAAATCCTACACGTTTTGCATAGAAAACCGTGTCTCTTGGAAAATTGCCATGACAGCAAAATTGCTCTCGATTTCCATTCAACCATGATAGCGGCTCGGTATGGTTACTAAGGGTGGAATAAATAAACTCTAGCCTCCTCTGACGTTTAAGAGGCGGGCAGTGGCAAAGTTTCTCTCCCACACACACTCACGTCTATACATCTTACAACCGTTCTCCATCACTCAACCTCTTTCAGCAAACTTCTTGACACCTCCCGCTCACACACAGCCCTTTTGTGTACGCCATTGCACGCTCTCGTATACCATCCTCCCACAATACTCTCCTTCCTGATACATGCCGTCCTTTCACCTCCTCCTGAAAAACCTTGTCCCACAGCACACGCCTCCTCCCTAAACCATCACACACCCTCTCTGCCGCACACCCTGCCCCCTCAGCCTCCGCAGAACCCCCATCTCCCACACATGCCTTTCTCCACACCACCCTCTTCAGCTGGCCCGTCTCCATCACACCTTTTCTCCCTGCACAGCCCCTCTTCCAGCAGCACGCCATCTCATACAAACGCGCTCTTCCCTTCCTACCCTTCTCCACACACCCTCTTCCCAGCTGGCCCTGTTCTCATCACACCCATCTCTGCGCACACCTCCAATCTTCTAGGACATTATCCCTCTCATACACCCTCTCTCCTACTCTCTCTCAACATTCGCCCTCGCGCTAGGCCTGTCGCCTTCCTCACTCGACCTTCTCCTGCACACCCTCTTCCAGCCACACCCATCTCATACAAATCCCTCTTCCCTCCACTCTTCTCCACAACATCCTCTTTCATTCGAGCACCCTCTCCTGCAAACCCTCTGTCTAGCCACACCCATTCAATTCAAACGCCTCTCCTCCTACTCTTCTCCCACACACCCTCTTCCAGCTGGCCCTTCTCCCTCGCACCCGTTCTCCTGGCACACCCTCTTCACAGCACACCGCATCTCATACAAACGCCTCTCCCTCCTATACTCTTCTGCCACACACCCTTCGGCTCGCACCCTTCTCTGCACACCCTCTGCTAGCACACCCATCTCATACCAAACCCTCTCCTCCTACCTTCTCCCACAGCACCCTCTTCAGCTGCCCCTTCGTCCCGGTCGCACCCTTCTCCTGCCACACCCTCTTCTAGACACGCCATCTCATACAAACCCTCTTCCCTCCTACTACTCTCCCACACACCCTCTTCCAGCCTGGCCCTCTCCCTCGCACCCTTCTCCCTGCACACCCCTCTTCTCTAGCACACCCATCTGCATACAAACCCTCTTCCCTCCTACTCTTCTCCCACACACCTCTTCCAGCTGGCCTTCTCCCTCGCACCTTCTCCTGCACACCCTCTTCAGACACCATCTCATAAAAACCTCTTCCCTCCTACTTCTCTCCACCACACGCACCCTCCCTTTTTTTTCCATCGCACCCTTCTCCCTGCACACCCTCTCTAGCACCCATCTGCATTACAAACCCTCTTCTCTCTCCTACTCCTTCTCCGCACCCTCCTCCTTCCGCTGGCCCTCTCTCCTCGGCACCCTTCTCCTGCACACCTCTTCTAGCACACCCATCATCTCATACAAACCCTCTTCCCTCCTACTCTTCTCCTGCACACCCTCTTCCAGCACACCCATCTCATACAAACCCTCTTCCCTCCTACTCTTCTCCTGCACACCCTCTTCCAGCACACCCATCTCATACAAACCCTCTTCCCTCCTACTCTTCTCCCACACACCCTCTTCCAGCTGACCCTTCTCCCGCATGCACCCTTCTCCCGCACGCACCGATCCTCCTTCCAGACATAACAGCCCGCGCGCAGATCTAGACCCACGTGGGAACTAACAGGCGATGACAGTCCAACCACGATCGACCGGGGCTCGGTGACGCGCGACGCGCAAGCGGAGAAAGACGGATCAGCATTCCTCGCACAACCGCCGCAGCTTCATTACACCGCCGGGAGGACGGGGCTTCACTTGAGCGCAAAAGAGATCAGCTGTGCGCTGGCGATGGGGAGAGCGAGGCGATCAGCACACACTTCTGATTAGCAGCTTGTTTGCTTAACTGCAACTACACGCCAGGCACCAGTGTGCTTGCTTGCGTCATCGGGCGGGCTGAACCCAGTTCGAAATTTGGGCAGCAACTCCATAAATGTGATGACTCGTGACCTAGTAGTTGCGAGTGCATCCACGTACTTAAAGCATCTGACGTAGTTGAGCTTTCGTCCCTTTCATCCCCTACCCTCCCTCTGCTCTCATTCCCTCTCTAGATTTCCCAAACGGTACGACAAACATGGTAGACACCATATATACAACACAATGGCTAACAATGACGAGCAGTGAGAGCTTAAAATGCTACGCAAGGAAGATCCACCTGTATATTTAAATTTTTTATACTTGCCGTTTTATGGCCTTAAGTGCCTGTCACTGTACAACAATGTGTTCACTTTACGTTAACGGAAACTATGATACGTACCTTTATAATGTTTATACTGTGCACTTTAATAATAAATTCCCTGCACTTATCGCTGCTGGCAGATGCTGTATTCAGGTTTACATTACCGACGCAAATCTGAAGAAAAAGACAAAAAGATAAATTTCCTTTATTTGCTCATCTTTAACTGTCTCTAGTAACTAACCTCGTGCGGTTCAACACCAGCAACTGATGCTCTACCAACAACCTCGCGTACCTAAACAACTCCATCAAGCAACACGTTCTATCAACTTTCTCTTTTCTGCTAAGCTTCATTTACCAACAATATCCTTCCTCTAGCAAATAACTGTTAATTGACCTCTTTCCAGCTACCCTATATTATTACAAATCTTCTCTCCATCAACCTCACTTAACTCAAGTCTCCCTCATATCCACCTCTTCTATATAACGACGTATTTTTACTCCGAATGTCATGATATCCTCTTAAACTCCTATCCCCATTCTTCTTTATATCTAACCGCTATAAAATACTTCCAAAACTGTACATTTGTCTACGTTTCGATTTTTTTCTACATGAGCTATCAACACAAAAATCAGAGCAACTTGGTGTCTCTCGACGATAAAGGATAAAATTTTGTGCATTACCTACTGGGAACTACATTACATTAAATATAGATCAGATTCACAGCAAATATTCTGCCTTTTACTGTTCAAGAAATGTAAAAAGTGTGATTAATGACTCACAGAAATTTCATTTTAACCAAATTTAGCTTTTGAAATTTCACTGTGACATTGTAGCCTCATAGTCATACATCCAGGCATGTATAGATTCTACTAGCAAACCTAAGCCGGGCATGTCAAATTCTTTCTAACAGACAGTAAACAAATCCATGTTTAACCCTCCTCTTGAGGTCAAAGGTTATCTGACATTACTCTTCGCATGTCAGCAAAGGTGCATTTCATGGTCCTTCCAATAAAGCCATAAAAATGCTAGGTCACCGCTGAAACAAAAAAGTTTTCAATCGCTCCGTCAGACCATGTCCTCAGAAAATGTCTAAATCTGCCCTGTGCCATTGACCTTTGACCTGTGACCTCCAATTTCGGCACAGTGATGGCTTTTCCTACCATGATGCTATACACCGACTATCACGAGCTAGGTCGAGCCGTTTAGATTTGTGCCGCAATGTCTGCATTTCCTCCCTATACCTTAAGTTAAGGGTGAAGTTCCCCCTTCTTTTACACCTCTTGACCTTTGACATTTGACCCCAGCTTCAACATCCCAACTCGTTTTGACGATCCCCCCGATGTGCCGATATCTGTGACCGTACGTCGGCGCGTTAAGATTTGTGCCCAACTGTTGACACACGGAGGGACGCACGGACAGACGGACGCACGCTCATGCGCATTCTACAAGCTGCATCTGACTATGTCAGATGAGCTAATTAACCAATACCACATCTACCATCCAACTTATCATATAAATGCTCATTTCGCCATTACATTTTAACATGCGGAGCGAGATCACTTAGTCACCGTTAGTGACTCACGACCACTTACTCACTTGTGTTTACTGGGACCTTAGTCCAAAAACAAATTGTATGCTCGTAAGCTCGAACTAAAATAGCAGACGTGACCACAGGCACTTGGAATGTTTCAATAGTAAAATGATTGGTAAATAAACACGAAATGTATTGCCTACCAAAGTCTTAATGTTGCTCTACTCCCTTTCGCCTATTATTGCCGATAACTTCATGTAAATGCCGTTCATGCCGCTGTGCACAAACAACAAGAATAAAAGTCTAGAGAAAAAGGAAATTCAGGGTGCGAAATTAACGCCGCAGTCCGAAGTCAAATACTCCCTGATTTACTGTCGGACTCCCTGATTTGACATTTATATGCAGGAGTCTGTGTGACTCCCAGAAAATTCTGTTATTACAAATTAGCTAGTACTTAGTTCGTTCCAGAGGAAGGCCTCGCGGAATTACCCTATTTTTTCAGCAAATGTCCAAAGAAAATTTGGCAGAGCGTGCATGGCAATAATTTTCAAACAAGCACATGTGTTATTGCTGCCTATGCTTTAGTTTGACACTTCAGACTGCGGACTCCCTCATTTTGCTACGGACTCCCTCTTTTTTAGGGCAGGGAGTCCGTTGGACAGTTCGAAGGATGAGATGATGTCCAGGACAGTGATTGGATATGGATGACGTTTATTGTGGACATGCTCTCTATCCTTGAGCCCGTTGGACTGACCTTGTTCAAAAGTTAATTTCTACCCCTGAAATTACTGGCAATAATTACTAATGAGGCGAAAGGTGTAGCGAAAAACATTGAGACCCGGCCTTCGTTATAGTCCCTAGGACTTGAGCGTAATACGTAGAGATTATGAGGGTTATGAGGTTACTGGTACATTTGTGTTTATTTCCATCATTTCACTATTGAAAATGAAACGTGTCAAAGTGCCTGTCGCGCCACAGGCACTTGGAGCGTTTCAATAAAATATAATGCCTAAATAAATACGAAATCTATTTACTACGCAAAGTCTTAATGTTTCTATACTCTCTTTCACTATATGCCGACATATTCC